TGATAAATGTGTTAAGTGTTTGAAGGGATTAGTTTCTATAACATTTAAAACACCAACACATCTTTCACCAGGTAGGGAAGACTTCTGACTTACAAAATGAAGTACAAATCTACAAATATAATTCAAATACATTAATTTCTTATTATTACAGTTCATAAGTCTAGCCCTTGTTTCACTTAATGCTTACCAATTATGAATGAAAATATGACAGTAGTAAGTATACAATTAAATAGTATCTCATAAAGTGAATTTCGTTTGAAAATTGTCCTTTAAGGTGCCATTTTCTTGAAAAATTAACGAAGATATAAAATCATAATTTGAATTGACATTTCAAATCAATGTAAATCACTCTTAGCGACTAATTAAATTTTTGAGAAACTGTCCCCAATATTCAAAATAAAATGGAGTTTTTCGTTTTGACAATATCTGATTGCAGTGATATTGACAAAGTAGAAGAAAAAAATTAACAGCTCTGTGAGACAGTGGCAGAACCAGGTTTACATCCGAGGGGCGAGGGGCAAAATACCTGAGGTTTCCAGAATTTCTAACCTAGAGTTATGAGATTTTGGCTCCTTCACTGCTGTGAGAAACAGAATTCACGAAAAGTCAGCAAAAATTAGTCTATGAGAGGTAAAAAGAATGGCCCTTTCTGTTTTTGTGGCAATATAATCTATTCATTTGGTTCCTATGATTTGGAATAAGTTCATTTATCATACAGGCATAAAGTTACATTGCCTTTGGTCTTTAAATAGCTAGTAGACTAGTAAGACTTACTTCGGCACATCTCTATGTTCCTCTTTTAAACACATATCTAATAGATCTATAAATTTCTGAGGAAATGAACCAAAATCTACCAATAAACCTTGCTGCATCTTTAAGCTAAAACAGAGAATGTCAACTATTCAGTCTAAAATGAAAGCACACAAATTTATTGAGCATTAAAAGCTGACAAGAGATAGAAAGAAAGAAAGAAAGAAAGAAAGAAAGAAAGAAAGAAAGAAAGATAGAAAGAAAGAATCAACCATTTTTACAAGGATAAAAATAAGGATCCTGTCTACCAGCTTATCCTTGGACAGACTCGAATCCTTTTAAAGGACAGATTTGCCATTTTCGGGGATGGTTTGGATGTCCATAGTCTTCAGAAGAACTGAAAATTTACAAAAATCACATAATTCCTTCAAAAATACCTAAAACTAGGAATTTCACTTTCTATTTCTATATATGTCTTTCCTATATATGGCAGTGTCTCAGTCAATGATGAGTCATTTTTTTAACTTTATAATGCAAATAATTCTAGACACATGCAGATTTGAAGGCTCAAATTTCAACGGTGAGCTGTTAACACATTACTTATTAGCTGAGCTAAAAAATTCCCCTTTCTGAGACTAAAGTATGATAAGTCAAACGGCTAGCGAATCTGTCCCTTTAATAGTAGTTAGATTATCTTTCATGTTTTGATATTTCATGGTATTTGATATCTATTTGTTGTTTAAAGGGTTAGTGTGATCTAAATACAAGTTACCTTTGAAAGCATTCTTCATTCAATCTCAATGTATACAGGAAAAATAAATCTTTTTCATCAGTTAAAGTGACAAATAACTCCTAGAAATTAACAAAATAAAATAATAACAGTAAACAGAAATAACAGGGTAGCAATTTAACCAAATATTGCTCACTTAGAAATTCTTGTTGAAATTGGGAGTAATTAATACTAACAACAAACCATGATCATTTATATTATTAGATACTTCAAACATAAATACGGCACTTCTATAATACACAGGGTTCATGATGTGCATTTTTGCCCTGACTTTCTATGATATTTTTTTTTCGGCAGGCAGTTTAGCAGAAAACATCATATGATTCAATATACATTACTTGTGCAGAACATGACAAATAGAAGATTTTGAATGTATCATTTTGAACGTAATTTTTATCTGCATAGGTTAATAATATCAAATAGCAGTATTTTTTCATTCAACTGTAGATAAATTTGATTTTTATTCTGGAAAGTGTTACAGGTACCTAAAATTAAAAATTGTGCATAAGATGTGAACGATGACAATCGTCATAAAAAAATCTTATCATTCTTACCTTTCTAGACAAAGTGGCCGCACTCATTTGTGTTTCCATTCTGACATCAATTTTAGCACGTCTGAAAAATTAACAGTTGCTTTCAAACACAAAAAAGCACTGGGTTGAGCCATGACTGAACACATGAGATCTATCAAATCTGTTCTTTTATGTTCTTCTATTATATTTTTCATCTCCAGATATCTATACATTTCATACAAAATTCTTGTGACCTAGGCCAGTGTTTCTATAGAGGAGAGTACCTTCCAACACCAAATACAAAATAATGTGAATTGAAAATTCCTGCAAGAGATGACCAGTTGACCAGTTGACAAACTAAGGTGCAGAGATTTCAGTTGCTCTGGAAGGGTCATTCAATTGATCATGGAAGTTCTTGTACTTCAACTCTTAAAGCAACTAAGTTGAGGAATGAATTGTGAAGAAGTCATGTTCATCAGAACACTTATCAGTATTGGTAAGGAACAGTTACATTACCTGTCTTCCTTATCACCATATTTAAATATAATAGGAAGTTTTTTGGTAAATAATTCCTCAGCCATCATGAATTATTTCAAATGATTTTCCAATAATTTTTATAAATCTTGTTTGAAGAACAATTATCTGAAATTCTGAAAAAAGATTACAACTACATAGTTATAACTACCCGGTACTTAGTTGAATGTAGTTTTGATAGAAAAACTCAAACTTCACAAATTGAGTAATAAATAATAGCAAGAATCTTAGATTGTCTTAGGGTTTGTGAAAATGCCAACCAATGTCAATGAACAAATTGTTTTTTGCAATTAGACATATTATTTGTCAATTTGTAGGAGGAAAGAGTGTTTGTTTCAAATATCCTTCTGCCAGTTTTGACAGAAATAAACACTCAATGTAATAAACCTTATTTTACCATGAACGATGGACCCTATAGACCCTACAAATGGCAAGCAAATCAAATGAAAAATTTATTTTCAATATGCGTGAAATGAAAGGATGAATTCAGTATTGTGGTCGGGAAAGTCCTAATAAATTACTAAAAAGCTGAAAGTAAATTCTTATCGTCATTTGAGTTTATTCAAATAGTTCAGATAAACATAGAACTTGTAAATTGGTAAATCTGTTTTGATCACCATATTACCAGAACAGAAGATCGTTCGTACCTGTGTTATATGAACTTTATAAACAGAATCACAACTTTGACATTTTCCGCTTTTATTTGTTTGGACTTGTTTATTAATTTGTACGGCCCGCTGGAAACGTACAAAATATATTCCGATTAAAAAATAAAACGAATGTAAATTTCAATTTTGACTCGCATCGTGAAAAAATCAGGACGAATATTATCTTTAAAATATTAAAGGGTTGAATAACTTATCAGTCAATCATAACATTGATTCTGATCAAAACCTGAACTCATCTAAATTTAGCTTTGAAGTCTGATATTTTTTTTTAAAAAAAACAATGGATTCCGAATGATCGTGGTCATCTACGCATTGTCTTTGATCTTTCTATGTCTGGCTAATCGAGTAAAAAGCACGGGAGATTTAAGTCGACAGGAGACCTAAAATAGGCTATAATTCATTGTTTTCGTCGATCAATTCGTTGATGATAAATGTTTACAGTAGGACAGGTATATGTTTCCCCTTCCTGCAATCAAGAATTGGCACAAGGTGGATTATCAGCGTTGCCGTTTGCCAAAATTTACAATGATGCAAACTGACAACTGTCGAACTGACATAAAACATTTTTTGTTCAATGGGCTATAGGTTATTATATTGTAAAGAAATGTAATTGTTCTAGATCTACTAGGCCTAACAAACAGTAGAAGGAATCATAAAATAATCTTTTGTAAAAGTGTCACTAGTTTCAGATTTTTTGCCAATAATATTATCAACAATTTACCGTATTGAATAATAACCCCAATGAATCGGCAGGAAGCTCCAAGAAAGTTTATTGTTCATTTTTTCAACAGAGCATTGTTTTTTTCACCCTTTCGAGTTTCCAACAGGATGGATGTACTATCTAAGAGAGGTCCGATTAAAAACAAGCCTAAACAAGAGCAAACAAAACGCAAACAAAATTCTAGTATGCAATTTGCAATAAAAGATCCATTGTAGCCTTAATGTGACGAACTTGGAGTGGACTATAACATGAGTGGCTAAGTCCAACTTTCAACAAAAATTCAATGATTTGGTCAGAGTTGGATCACTTCAGTTCAATGCTGGTTGACAATGAACTATTAGATCTTAAACCAGATTGTTGCGAATAAAGTTATTGGTTTTTATTCTAGAAATAATTAGTAATATGTTTTGAATAGTGGATAAATGATTGAAATTTGTTTGATATAGAAGAATATATTCTTGCTAGTTAAATAGAATCTCACAGACAGGCAAATAATGTAGGATTAACATCTGAAAGTAGTTGTATTACTCAGTTTTGTTATATAAAGGGGTGTGAACACAACTGATCATGAGTTTGTTGCATTTGGAATAATTAGATTCAATGGACTTATCATGACAGCTTGTCATTGAATGTGTTTGAGAGGTGTCTATGGTGTGTCGTTTTGCAGATAATACTCAATGCATATCAACTGGCAAATATTCAGAATAAACACATGAGTAGCCTGGAAATTTCTTTACAATCAATTTCATAACACTTCAAACTTTTTTTGGCTGATTTTTTTTTAAGCACACAGTGGACATTATAGAAAAGATTTTTTCTGAGCATTTTTATCATTATTTGCATTTGTTTACACTTGTTTGCTGGTGTTTGCTTCTGTTTAGGCTTTTTAGTCGGACCGTCTCTAAGAGTATTTAATTCATATGATATAACTAATAATAAGTTTCTAATTTTCTGGATAAAAAGAATAATCATATGGTATCAGAATATGAGAAAATGATGTTTGTTTTCACTTTTATTCCAGTACCATGGTGGAAAAGTTAAAAAATGAGAAATACAGTAATTTGATGATGGAATTGGCTGTTGAAATTGAACCCAGTGAATTTCATATACTGCTCATGGGTGTGTACACCCGAAAGCTGATAAAGCGAAGGGAAATGGAGAAAGTGTCTAATTTTTCCCAGCTAATATCCTTCCTAACAGGCCCAGTCCTCTCACCAAAGAATGTTAAGCTCCTATCAGATCTCTTATACCGAATTGAACGTAAAGATTTAAAAGCACGCATTGATGAATTTGCACGGGAATTGGAGTTTTTGGAGACTCAGTGTTTACATCCTTCACAAAATATACATCTAGAGAATGATCTTCCTGCCATCCAGCAAGAAATAGATAGTGACAATAAATATGATTATGAAAATGAATTGGACGATGATGAGATGATTGATTCACAAAACAGCTGTGTGAGCATGAGAAGTCTTACTGATGAAGAAAAGAGAGATCGAGAGTTGGCTTGTGACTTTTAGACCACCATTGTTTGAATGTTTAAAAGAGATTATTCTTTTAAGAATCACTGGCAAGTTGCAATAAACAAAATTCTAAAAGTTAAAAGGATTGTAAATGTTTGATTGACGACACTAATCACAAAGGCCATGAGTAATATAAGCATATTTCGCGATTAGTGAGGTCATCAAACACTTAGTTGTAGTGGAATTGTAAAAACCACAGATGTCTGATTAAAAATTTGAATGGTTCAACTTGATGCTATCAGTGTTCCCTTTAAAGGCAGATGCATGCCAGCTTCATGACATCGGGTATTGTGGCCTTAATTGTTGCCTGCTTGAGTTTTTGTTTATAATGTGAATGTTTTGTGAATTTCATTTGGTTTAATAGGTGTGCACTGCCTCTAAATTATTTCACAAAAATAATGTTGATCAAAAGAATGGACTAATAAAAAGCAGGTAAGAGTGTTGGCTGAAAAGTTCTAAGCCTGTGTGGGATATGCCACCAACAAGTGCAATAATTCAATGAATCATAGACATAGAACCTGAAACTGTAGGGTTATTATTGTCTAGGTACCATATCATCTTGTGAACATACTAACAATGGAAATAACCAGAAATCAATAAAAATGGCTATAGAGGGTTCTGTTTGTTTTTTTTTGTATCAAAATAAATAACGACTTTTATCTCTATGTAACCTGTAAATATTAGAATTGAATTATTTTGTTGTTTAGTTGTGAGGTATGGAAATTGTTTGCATGCCTGTTTTCATAGTATGATGCTTTTTTGAAAATGTTGTGAATATTTCCATATTAAATCATGTAATTGGTTTTGAAAAAATAGCAAGCTTAGCTAGTGAAGTATTTTTATTTATAATTATAGAGGTTACTTGTTGTTATTTAATAACTCTCGCTCAAATAAATTTGGATTGTTGATTGTTTCAACAGCTTGGCATGTATTGATACAGTTGAACTCTGTAGTATTTTTAGACAATTTTTACAAATTATTTGAAAGAAAGTGAGAACAAACATTCTTGCAGCATTTATTTTTATTAAAGGAAGTCAAAATATACAACTTTTTGTCTGAATATTGACACCTATTTTTCACCATGTCAAAATGTGATACAAGCCTTTCCATAAAATAAATTGGTGCCTTATGATTCTTACTTACAGCCATTTTGATGTTAGTTAGAAAATCCTTTGAACCATGTCTAATTTTGTAGCACATTTAAAACTAGATCCAGTACCTCGGCCAGTGCTTTACACATTTATGAACTGCCTCAATACCAGTATTAAGGTTCGAATAGACAGTGTATGATGTTCAATGTGGTATAAGGTATGGGATTAACGATAATGTACAAAATAGAACATGATTGGCTTCTACTATTTTATATGATAATCCTGCACCAGATGCCAGACATCATCTACTTTCACCTTAAATCTTAATTTGTTTTTCTGTATTGTAATACCCATTGAATAGGGTGACAATAATTTAGTTCTGTTTATATCAATTTAATTTAATTTTGTATCAATATATTTTTTTTATTGTTTTTTTAAGTTTTCTAATGAAGACATTTTTAACCAATCAAACCATGTCACATAGGACCAGTTTCTTGATGACAATGACAAATTGTGGGATGGCGAAATTCAAAGTAAATTGTATTACTTACTCATTACATATTGAACAATATTGAAATTGAAGACTTGGGCATAGCTATCTTTCCCGTTAACATTATTTATAAATTCTAGTCATATAAATATATACATCTTTTTCTTTCATATCATGTTTCTTTCTATCTATTATCTGAGGAAATTCTTCTTTTTAGTTGTGTCCAGAGTTGACTTGATTTTGTCATATTTAATGAATTGTTTTTGTTAATAAAATCTTCTGTTAAATTTATTTTGTTGAAGAATATTGAACACACCTTTTCAGTTAAAATCCCCACATATATTTTTATTATTTCTAGTACCTGTAATTAACATTCATTTGTACATTCATCATTTGCTTTGCTCTTTTCGTTGTGGTTAATATCTTTTCCTATTCATGTATTATAAGGCCTGAAGAAGCATTGTACATAACGCGAAAATCTGCTTCATTAAAGTGACAGTAAAAGATAGATTTTGAATTTTTATCTGTATCATTTATGTACAAATTTGATTGGAGTTGCAGTTTCTATTGTGCACCTTGTCTCTCTGAAGGGAACGGAAACCAACTGATTCAGATGGCCTGATATATGAATTTTGAGCATTTAGAAAACTTAAGTTCCATTTCAAACTAAGACTTTCAACAAGCCCGAGGATGCTACTGCATATGTGTTAGGACTGAAATAGGCTCTCTTACACTGAAATGGCATACACTAGCACAGACATCTATCATCTGAGAAATGTGTTAATTCATCTGAGAAATGTGTTAATTTCACGCGTTTTTCAAGGGCAATAACTCAAAAACCGTTCATCAAAAGTTAAATTCCACCTTGTCCAAGATCTCACTAATATAAATGATCACACCAAATTTCATTAAAACTGGAGTCTCTATAGTGTTCACAAACAAATTTTAGCGAGTTTTTACTGAGTCAAGGGCAATAACTCAAAAACCATTCATTGAAAAATCTTCAAATTCAAACTTGACAAAGATCTCATGAATATAAATGATCACACCAAATTTCATATAAATCGGATAAAAACTGTAGCCCCAATTGTGGACAGACGGAAGGACCGCTGATAAAATACTACCACATAATAATGTGGGCGTATAAAGAGCTGGAAAACCTCAATACAATCTACTTTATCCTACATCTTTTTATTTATAAAATCGCAGATTTACATAATGAATTCAGACAATGTCACATTTTCTGGACTTTCAGTTTTTAAATGAACACTTTTTTAATTCCAGACATTCCACTCAATGGACTATTGTCTAAAACAGATGATTGTGAGCTGAAACAAAATACTTCAATAGTTCCAATTTACTTTAAAGGTGCAAGTCCTAGTTTAGCCCTCAATTCATTAGCTTCCTGTATTTCTTGTGATTTATCACTTGAATGGTGATTATCACGATCACGTTTTCTGTCCTTATCACGTTTGTCACGACTTCTTTCTCCTCTGTCTTTGTGAGATCTATCCTCATCACGATGATGTCTATCTCTTTTACTCTTTTTACTTTTCCGATGCCTGTCATCATCATCTCTGTGTTTTCTACCTGAAATTAAACAGAATTGTTTAAATACCTGATCCTGTAACAAAACTTAAACCACTAGGTATAATTTGCTCAATAGATTACCATAAACATGCCTCTCTTCCTTGGAAAGAAACAGTTCCCTGTTATAGATGATCTGATTGGGAAAAAAGAAGATAAATAATGATCTCATTTTTATTAAATAAACTTTTTACCACGACTTGATAAACTCCTATAATATAACATTTTTACATTTCCATTGTCAAACATACCTGGTGATCTGTGACGCTTCTCACGTCGTTCCTTTTCACGACTTCTTGATCTGTGTTTATGACGTTCCCTTAAAAAGAGATTAATATCTAAGTATGGGATTCATTTCGATACTTTCTGCGATAAAATTTTTTTTATTACAGTCATCCGAGCCAACTATCTTATCATGGGTTCAAAATTTATGTTTTCTTTATCACTCAAAATCCCTGAAAAAGACTAAGCAATGTTGATATTATCTCTGCAGTGAGCAGGTGCTTTTATCATTAAGTCAATTATAAAATGAAATTACCTTCTATGTGGAGACCGAGATCGACTACGTTTGTATTTGGGTGAGGGACTCCTTTTTGGTTTATCTACATCTTGATATTTGATTCTAGGTTGATTCCTTTCTGGTGAAGGACTTCTAGCTACTTCCTAATAAAACATATTATAATGTCATTAAAATTTTTATGCAATTTCCAAGCTATCTATATTTTTAGAATGCTTGACAAATGAGAAAAGATAGATAATCTGGTAGGATTTTTAGTTTTTTTAAAATGCTTGTAATCAATGAGTTCAATAATACTACTGGTATTATACCAGCTAATAGAAATTTATTTCAGTTATCCACATAACTTTTTAGAATTATTTTCCAATGAGTTATTAACATTCTAATGAGCAGTTATTGCTGGTGTCCTGATGATATTAGCAATATAAACATTAAAGAACATTTTGTTCTGCACAAGTGTAACCATCAAAGACATTTTCCATTGAATTGTATTGAAAACAGACATCAGATTTCTGAGTTCTGAGATGTGATACAGATAGCTCAATATGATGAAATAACATACCTCATCCTCTGAAGTGTCCATTTCATCTAAATCTTCTTCTAATGGACTGACTCTAACTTCTAGCTCATTGCTTTCTTCTAATACTTGTCTTTTCTACAATAAACAATATACAAATAATAATGTAGAATTGGCTACTGAAGATATGAAACTTTAATCTGTTAAGAAGGAGAATACAAATAATTGTGTATTTAATGATCTCTTGAAAAAAAGATTTCCTTTGATGAAATGAAGTTTTATGTCCTTCTGTAATGAAGACGTGTTATGCAAAGCAGTGTGCAATGAAGGTTTTTTTGCTAGGACAGCAGAATAAGCCTTTTAAGTCTTTTACTGTGCACAGCCTGTAGCACATAGGGCCTCAGTAATTGTCCCATATCTTAACAACTAGACACTTTTTCTATTTCAGCTCATCTGACCTGTATCACTGACACGGGGGAAACCAGGTTGAAAAATCCCAATGTATTATTTCAACTTATACCAGGATGTAACCCTGCACCCTCAGATTAGTGAGCAAGTGTCTAACTCACTTAGCCCCTGCAGCTCCTGCTGTTGAAAGCAATGTCACCATAAATAGAGAGACTTTGGAAAAGAATATGTTTGATAAAAATTAAAACTCACTTGTAATCGAGGTAAAATTATATCTACAACTCTTTCTTCACGTAATAACTCATCTATAAATTCGTCCATATGTAATATCTCAAATTCTATAAATAACAATATTTTTAAACATACAATATCATTCTGAAGGCAAAGTTTGACACAAGTCAATAGAACTTCATTCCATATAACAGTAGCACATTGTTCTTACAATATGACATTAGGTATGTCTACAGTGAAAAAATCCTACTTCGACCCTACTTTTGACAATAGTTCACTTTTCTAGATTTATAGTACGTTCTTTGTTTTAATTCATTGCAAACAAACAGCAATGCCATTTTTAAAATCTTCCAATATTTCATAGAATGCTTATATTGATTATTCCAGAAAATTTGTGGCAGCATCGCATTAAAAACAAGCAATTTACTGAAAATATTAAAAACGTACCACCATTTCTGTTCATTCTTTTCATTTTTCTGTAATCTAAATATAATGGTTCTAGATACTTGTAACAGTCTAATGATGTCCCTGTTAACCTCATATATATAGCACCTAATGCACGAACATATCTAAAAATAAGTATATCAATTAATCAAAGTATCAACGAATTTCAACCATGTTTGAGTTTGGATAAGCAAATTATTGACAACAATACTACTCTATATTAATGTAGATAAAGTAAAATTCTTGCCCGCAGAAAAATATATCATTAATCTGGGCTTTTACACAATAAAAGTCTATAAGCTTATTCTCACTAATGACGAGGGCACTTACTTGAAATCTTCATTTTTAATGAATTCAACAACAATGTCTTTTTCAGGTTGAATTTGCAACATTTTGAGTATAAGACATAAAAAATCTGTTGGTTTCACATTTCCACCAAATACACCACCTATATATTTCAATTCCATAGCTTTATCAACCAGAAGAGCAGCTGAAAAAATATTTTGGTAATTCAAATCCAAGTCTATAAGATTTAAGAACTGGACAAAAATTAAACTTGCATCAAATTGGGCTCATTGGAATTTAAATATTTTTTAGTTCTACTGGAAATGTATAAAAAAACAACAAATAAGGAACTAACATTTAAATTTGATTACCACCTTCGGAGGTGTAGAAAAATCCCCAAGTTTTCTGACCCTACTCCAGCCAAGAAGTGCCAAAATAGGCTGGAACACAGGTAGATGTTTTGTACCAAGTAGCATTCCAGTTCGCGAGACAGACAAGATCGGTTAGCATTTATAGTTGAACAAGACATGCATTATCTGGAAATGTTTCTATACATAAATAATAGCAATTTATTTTCAAGCAATGCCATGATCAAAATATAAAAAAAAATTTTTTGGTATGGCCATGGGAAAAATGATTGTTGTCTGTAGCCATGGACCGGCAGTTCATAGGTAAAAGAGAAAAGTAAGATGTTGGCAAAACCTGTGAGAGCAAAACATTCTTCTTTCCAGTAACGACATTCGTATATTCGAGTTCTGATGATTTTTTCAATCAAATATTGAGGATTTGTCCCCTTGATTGAATGCGCATCTTTCACTGTGCGATTCGCCATTTTTATTTCTTCATCTCGCAAAAACTCACCAAATCTCGCAAAATTGCGTGCACCTGTCGGTGACGTCGAATAATTTTTTGATTAAGAGTGTAAGACATGAAACATAATTTGATGTTGAGTTGACTAAATGAGTTTTAGAAAATCCACTGTGGTTAAAGAACCGCCCACCGTATGAGCTAACAGGTGGTCAATGATAAAATATTTTTGATGTTTCGACAACTTTATAAAATAATCGAAAAGTACGCGGAAGCCCGAATGATGTATTTGGCGGGAATATAGATGTCGCATTGGTCGACAATAACAAATAACATTACTAACTTTTTAAAAGTTTACAGATAAAAAAGATATCTCAAAAATGCCGACTGCAAGGCAATATTTTACAGATGATGATGAAGGAAAATGGATCGGAGTTGGAGAAATTAAAGAAGAAAGACGACGGACGTCTGAAAAACATTTTAGGTAAATCTAACAGATGTCGACAGAAAAAATAGGCCCTGTTAAATGGAGACTTTCCTCATCTCCACAGTTTTAAACCTATTTAGATACCTCGGATCTGCAAAATCCAGATAAATTTGGAAAGATGAACATTTTTGTAGTTCAGTCATACCATCATTTTCTCCATGCACCATTTATGCCAAGGCTGCTTTTCCATCAAAGGTTTTTTTTAATGAAAATGATCTTGCATTGTCAATTTAAAACTGCATGCATAGCTTAAAAAAAGATAGTTAATAAATGGCTTTCATGAGTAATCAGATTGGTTTCTAATTTTCTTGTTCTTCGTACAGTGTAGACCTGTGACTTAAATAATTGACAGTATCATAGTATGAAATTATCTTGTCTTTTAGGGGACTAGAGTTAAACAACAATAAATATGCCATCAATGATTTTGTTTTGATATCCAGTAGTGAAGATGAAGATATAGAAACAGCTTATATTGCTCAAATAAAACAACTATATGAAAGAGGTAATTTTATATGCACTGTGGATTATGATTATCTTATAGGAGTTTGATGTTAATGGTTTTTGACAGAGGAGTTCTTTAACTGTTGTTACAGTATTATGTTTTGGGCAACTGCTTGTCATTTGTCATTGCATAAAGAAATTTCAGTAGTAGTAGCCTGGAACACAAGAATAGTGCTTTGAATGGATTAATTAATATATCCATACATACTTATAACTCCCGAAACGATCTTATAAACATAACAACATGGCAATGAAAGAAGACAAAATGGTGGATCCTCAACATTGAATCGCGCTATTTTCGAAGGGAAAAAAAACTCAAAATTTAATTCACTGTCCATTTTGGGGTAAAAAAACTGTGCATTATATTCAGAAATATACGGTACACTGCTTTAATCAATACATTTTAATAACTTATGTTATATAGCAGAATGTGCAATAGTAGAACTAGGATTAGTGATTTATCTAATCAAGTCTATACCATTTTGAAGTAATCTCAAACACTCACTTATATTTACATATTCTAATTGAATGTTTTATATTTTTAAGGAAATGCCACTAAGCACCGTAAAGCAACAAGACTAGCTACAGTACAATGGTATTGGAGGTCTAACGAATTACCTAAACGTATTTATAATAAAATAATACAAGATGAAGGAGTTCCTGATGAACGTGAAGTATTTCTTGTGTATGATAAGAGTATTGATAATGATGTTGAAGTTACTAGTATCATTGGAAAATGTTCAGTAAGTCTTTTCCTATAGTGATTTTTACAGTGACCAAACGAAAGCTCATTGCAATGGGATTCAAACTTTTGAGCCATTTAAGTTATCTTTTTTTCAGATATTTTAATGTGTCAATTTTTTGAAAAAATTATTTAAGAAGTATTTTGATAAGTACAAAAAATACTAAATGAAAAATATTGAATTTATTATTAATATTAAAAATTGGCTGATTGTGATTTGACTCGATTTGGCTAAGCCTTTTATACTATTTTAAATTTTAGATTGAAGAATGTGAATTTCTACCAGATGTATTGGCCAAGTCTAAATCACAGAAAGACTGTCCTCAATTTTATGTGCGGAAAAAAATATGTGGTTCCAACATTTTACCTATTGTTGAAACTGATGCAGAAGGGAGTTTTTCTAGTGGTGTCGTCAAAACAACTACTAGAACACGGACACCACTTAAACAAAATGGGCAGATAAATAATAATAATTCTCATTCAAAAAATGGTTTGACATCAGATAGTGACAAATTTTATAAAGAATCTCTTAGTGTTGTGCCCATTACAAAATTAAAGTTCTGTGAGGAGAAAATTAAAGGGACTGATGAAACCATACCTAGGAGTGTCAAAAGGAGTATTGTCCGATCACCATCAGATACTGATTCCAGCATGTGTAAGGAAAATATTGTTAGTGTGAAACCAAAATCTCAAAGACAAAGTTCACGTCCTATGGAGAATAATAATAATAATAATGCTACAGTGACACCTATTGTTATACGTGGGGGATTAACTAATAATGCTGTCGCTTTCAAAAGGAAGTCAGCTGGTGCATCTCCTGTTTTACAAGAAGAAAAGAAGACTGGAAAGAAGACTGGAAAGAGAATAGGTGTGTATACAAATTTTGTATTAAAAAATATCGGAACTCTAATGAATGAATATTGTAAAAAGTGATCAAATCTGCCTGCATTTAAGAGATGTGATGGTAAAGTAATTGAACATTTTTCAGTGACCCTGTTTCTTCATTTGACAGTCAATAACAATAATACTGATGAATAAGTACTAACGATTTGAACCACAAAACGAAACCTGAAGTCCTAATCATATACAAGTAAGGACGGTTCTAAAGTTTTATTTAATGTTTTGTAAAGATTCATTGATTGATTTGCTGAATGAAGAATGATTTGGAAGTATTATTGAATATTAAACATTTTCTGTAACTGTTGAAGCTGTTACTTATTTTTTCTAATTGCAGATTTGAAAAGTCCCCAGTATCAGAAGTTCAAAAAATCAGATGTAGTGGATTTTTTTATGTCTGATAGTGCTAGTGATGATGATAGTGTATCGGTGTTGTCAACAGCATCAACATCTACTATGAATAGTAAAATAAGTAGGAAATCCAAATCTGTTAGTAATGCAGATGAAAGTTTAGGGAGTAATGAATCTAAACTTATCAGGAAATCTCGGCGTTCTGTAGCTGCTCCTAGAATAGAATCTGACAAATGTGTGACCCCAACCAGGGCCAGCAGACGACAAAATGATAAAAATATTGATTCAGACTGTTGGTCTCCTACTAAAAGATGTCGGACAGAGCCGAGACCGAAGACTAAACCTCTAACTGCAGCTCTTGATAGCCCTGCTAGAATAAATAAAAGGTTGTCACAAAAAGGCAGCCAAACGGAAAAAGCTAAGAAAGTACCTTCAGTAGTTGTAAAACGATTATCAGAAAATAATTATACCTCTATTAGAAACAAAACTCCTGATGCCCGTCCTGTGCGTAGACAACTACACGATACTTTTGAAAAAGAGAGGACCAAAAGTAAAACCCAAACTGTTGACAGGGAAAATAAAGGAAGCAGAAACCAGCCAAAGCGTGGCGTTAAAGACACATCTAAGTAAATAATAATTATAAGACTGTTAATATTTAATAGGGTTAACAGACCTATGATTTATTCCTTTACCAGCTGATAATGCCTGATTCAGATATCTGTATTGCTTCAGTTAGTCCAAAAAATCAACTGAAATGCACTTTGTTTAGACTAGTATTTCTTCGTCGAAACATTCTTGCTGGAAGTTTATGACCGATGATTTTGTCACTAATAACTGCATGCAATGTTGTTCGTCGAATTCTAGAAGTTAAAGGAAGGCATAAATGGTTAATCATACCATGATTATAGTACAGGGAATTCAAGAAAGGAACTTTTAGATGTAAGGGTAGCACATTTAGGCAACTGCTCCTTAACGCAGTAATTCCTTTTTATTTCCAGAAAGCTGTTAGATTGGAGTATTGATGAAGATTTTGATAATTTTGTACCAGGAGAAGAAATATCAAGTTCTGAATCTGAGTTGGATACATCTGATGATGATTCTGTAGTATCTGAGCTCTCAACATCAAGTCGGTCTAAGAAAACTCCAGCTAAAAATAAGAAAACGCCCAGTCGACCAAAAACACCTAGTCGATCAAAAACACCTAGTCGGTCAAGTGTTAAAACACCAAAGGTATTTTTTTATGAATTTAATCTCACTTTCAAGGTTTCGTAGAAGCTGTTCAATACAGAGGACCAAATTACAAAAACTTTCTTTCTAGCTTTAGCTATTTCTTTATGAGAATGTTCAATTCAATAAAATCAATTTTGAAATTAGATTACAGTATTTCTTCAGAACTGGGAAATGCAGATAAAACATTTATTATTGGTAGATTCTTGTTTGGTTATAAATTGTTTAGTTGTATAGTTAACACCTGATGGTACTTCTCTTGGAGGAGTCCACTACCACACAACTTTTACTCCTGATTTTGCCATGCTTTGGATGAGATATTGATTAACGGAATTGTCTTGCTTGTATGGACTTTTTATTGTATAGTCTTTTGCACACTTAACTATGAAACATCTATTGTAAAGCTGTATTGTATGTTTTTTTCCAGGGTAGAAAATCTGTTTTGGGTTCAGCTACACCAATCATTCCAAAACGTCCACAACAAATTTTGTCCCCAACCAGTGCTTTAGAGGAAGCTCGAGCCAGGTAAGTTATACATAAACCTGCTTCATAAAGTTATTATGAATTTGGCGACATATTTATTCAGAAAGATTATGGGTTATTTACAATCAAGCTGAGGATAAGAGGTTTTGATCACAAGATCTGCGCTATTGCGAGCTTTCAAACAGTACAACACCCAAGATATGTTACATACAAAATTCAAAATTCCTTTCCATCAAATGACTCCAATCATCAACTTTAAGTATGGTATATTTCAAATTCCTCTTTCCAGTTAGAGTTTGCTGATGAGGGTTTATCATATATTATATTTTATTATAGACTACATGTATCAGCTGTTCCAGATAGTTTACCATGTCGAGAGAAAGAATTCTCAGATATTTATTCTTTTGTTGAAAGTAAATTATATGATGGCACTGGAGGGTATGTTTTCTTTTATTTTTTTTACACTCTGTGATGACTAGACTGTTTGCTTACAAGTTTAACTGTAGATGTTTCTTTGAGGACAAAATAAAAAAGAAAGCTACAAAAATACTCTATGCATGCATACATAAATTATGTATATCATAGCTATTCATCAATGGACTTATAAAGATGTGTGTATTTATACATAATTTACTAGGTTGAAATAGGTCAGTTGTCTGAAGATCGCGAAGCATTAAACTCTGAGCAACAACATGATTCAATTTATGTTATAATATTTCTATATCACTCTACAATTGATGTATTGGGCACTATTGTTACAAATAAAATACTCCATTATTAAGAACACATTGTATCAAGACATATGGATAAACAGGTGTATATTTATAGGTGTATGTATATTTATAGGTGTATGTATATTTTATAGGTGTATCTATATTTTATAGGTGTATCTATATTATCTATTTACAGGTGTATGTATATTTATAGGTGTATGTATATTATCTATTTATAAGTGTATGTATATTTTATAGGTGTGTGTATATATTTATATCTATTTATAGGTGTATGTATATTATCTATTTATAGGTGTATGTATATTTTATAGGTGTATGTATATTTATAGGTGTATGTATATTTATAGGTGTATGTATATTTATAGGTGTATGTATATTATCTATTTATAGGTGTATGTATATTTTATAGGTGTGTGTATATATTTATATCTATTTATAGGTGTATGTATATTATCTATTTATAGGTGTATCTATATTTTATAGGTGTATGTATATTATCTATTTACAGGTGTATGTATATTTATAGGTGTATGTATATTTTATAGGTGTATGTATATTTTATAGGTGTATCTATATTTTATAGGTGTATGTATATTTTATAGGTGTATCTATATTTTATAGGTGTATGTATATTTTATAGGTGTATGTATATTTTATAGGTGTATGTATATTTATAAGTGTATGTATATTTATAGGTGTATGTATATTATCTATTTACAGGTGTATGTATATTTATAGGTGTATGTATATTTTATAGGTGTATGTATATTTTATAGGTGTATGTATATTATCTATTTATAGGTGTATCTATATTTTATAGGTGTATCTATATTTTATAGGTGTATGAATATTATCTATTTATAGGTGTATGTATATTTTATAGGTGTATGTATATTATCTATTTATGGGTGTATGTATATTATCTATTTACAGGTGTATGTATATTTTATAGGTGTATGTATATGTTATAGGTGTATGTATATTATCTATTTATAGGTGTATGTATATATCAGGAGTACCAGGTACAGGTAAAACAGCCACTGTACATGAAGTTATTAGAACATTAGAAATTAATGTAGAGGAAGATGATCTACCTAAGTTTAAATATTTAGAAATTAATGGTATGAAATTAACTGAACCTAGACAAGCCTATGTACAGTTACTAAAGGTAGTTGAATTCTGCATCTAAATTATTTCATCAAAGATAAACTTTTATTACATACTTGTGTTACTCTACCAATAACAGGAGACTCAAGCCCTTGTAATAATTGTATCCATATTACACATGTATTGAATACAGTCTGAACATTTGTTACCATCACATTTAGGGCATTTTGAGCTGCAATGCTAGTTTCGAATAACTCAATTTAAAAACATGTTCAAACTCTCATGGGCTATAATTCCTACAAGCAATACCATTTTTACTGACTTATGACGTCCTTGTTTGTTTGTAAATATCAAGTGAATATCTCAGAAATCATCTTCACAATATCAAGCGATTACAAAGATTAGTAAACATGATTTATTGATAATAAACTTTCTGTCGTGGCCTTTGATTGGCTGTATATGCTAGCATACAATCCAATCAAATTACTGCATCGACAAACTTCTGTGGAACATGATAGGTGGCTATTGAAGGTATATACAGCAGTTTGTTATGGCTTGATATGAAGATGCTCAGATAATGAGCACACTCATCTCAAGTTTTGATGTCAGTCAAATCATTAGTTATTTTAATTTTAGGAATTAACAGGACAGAAAGCTACACCTGATCATGCAGCTGATTTATTAAATAAAAAATTCAGTACACCTGGACCGAGACGAGAAACAGTTGTTTTATTAGTAGATGAGGTAAACATTTTAATAGTTTATTTTGGCATTCGAAGGTTAAAACAGACTCTTGAAAGCACTGGCATTGGCATCAGAATTTTTCTTATCTTCCTTGAGGATGATTCAAACCCAAGGCACCCAATTGGCTAGCAAATGACATTCCAAGCTATTCTACTGTGTTTGGTGACACTGCTAAAAGGCCTGGCTGCAGTCAAAACCCCTCAAAATTTTAATTGATTGGGTTTATGTGTTTATCTTGACAAATTTTCTCTTATTGCAGTTCATGGCATAATACCTTCAGATTTTTCAACTCTGTTTCAATGATGTTAGTTGGAGGTGCTGACATGAAAAAAAAGTGTCTAGTTGTTAGGATGGGACAATAAACTTAGGTCTTGTGTGCTACAGACTGTTTATGTTAAGTTTCCTCGACAGTTGACAAGTTTGGTCAAGATTACTATAAATATTGAACGCTTAAAAAATTTGCCATCCAGGTTTTTAGGGGCGTAGACTTTAATATGTTTATATTGTATGGATATAAAATTCATCAGAGACCTTATTATATTAATTAATACAGCAGAGAAATTGATATTCCTGGTACCAAAATATATGTTTCTAAACCTTTCACGTTTTTTTTTCTCGTGTTTTTCAGCTTGATTTATTATGGACTCGTAAACAGGATGTGATGTATAATATATTTGATTGGCCAACCAAACAACATGCTAAATTAGTTGTTCTAGCTGTAGCTAATACTATGGATTTACCAGAACGTATTATGATGAAGAGGGTCTCTAGTCGATTGGTGAGAAATTACTATTAAGTTCTCATTATTAAAGCATAGAACACTAACACTCAATTATTAAAGGTGTGGTCTATTTTGGAGATTTTTGTCTCTGAATCGAATCTTGAAGAAAATCTCGCGTGTGCCTGTGCTTTTATGACAAGATTATCATGTCGCCAACAGGATTTATAATATCAAACAAGTTTGATAATTGTCTCTGATAGTTTTATCGTCTGCAAGACAGACCGTCATCATCCAATCAGATTCATTTTCCTTTCAATTGCATGCTCTGCACGTGATTATCGACAAGGTGGAAAATGAGCGATTGGAGATTTTTGTCTCCTTGTGTGCCAGTGCCAGTCGTTGAAGCTCAAGAGATGACTCTAATCAGGGACAAAATTCTCCGACCAAACCGCTTGTATGCCCGCACCTTAACTATTTCACATTTAGAATTGATTGAATACGATGGAGTCCACATTTTGTCAGATAACTAAAAGATTTAAATTGTATGTACATGTATATCCACATTTTGGAATTTTTGAACTTTTGGAGAAATAATTCTTCATTTACAGCCCAAAGATTTGTTGAAAGTGGCTTGTCAAAATTGTTGTGTAGGAATGTTTCCATTCAATGCAAATGACAGACGCAAAATATTTCTTCCCACACAAATGTTTCTGAATTCATGCATGGTTGATTTCCAGGAACAATTTTCTAGAAATTGACTTTGTTTTTTCAGGGTTTAACAAGAATGACATTCCAACCCTATACATTTAGACAGTTAGAAAATATTGTAACATCAAGAATGAAAGGCTTGAGGGTGTTTGATGACGATGCTTTACAACTTGCTGCTAGAAAAGTTGCTGCTGTATCAGGGGATGCCAGAAGAGCTTTAGATATTTGTAGAAGGTCAACAGAGATAGCTGAATCTTTACATAAAGGAAAAGGTGAAATCTTGGTGGGAATGTTACATGTTAATACAGCTTTAGAAGAAATGTTTTCTTCACCAAAAATAGTAGCTATTAGGTGAGAAAATATTAAAAACAAATTTGTCTTTTTAGTATTTGAACCTAATGACCTATTGGCCTATTGGCCCTAAACTTACATTGTTTCATCTTAAATTACACTGACTAAATTACAAAGTACAATGAAAGTGGTGAAAGCTCATCTTGTACTGTCATCTAGTGTTTTGGATATAAAATCCATCATCACCAATTAATGTACTCCTGGTGTCTTGCAGCTTTTTGTGATTAATGATTTGATTTGGTTTTTAGTGGTTGATAATATCACAGAACATCATCATTCATTATTGTTAGGTTTTATAGCACAGTCAGTTAGAGTGTTGGTTCTTAACATGACGTCATTTGCTTGGTTACGTTGAGCGAATGGTGGCTGTGGGTTTAATTCAGGATGGGGGTGTGATAGTCCGATGACCTTGAATAAGTCATCTTCACTCATAACTCCGGTCAGCCCAGCTGTAAATGGGTACTGATAATCCGGGAAAGATCAATGCTAAGAGGTTTCGCCAAAGACCAGCTGGAAGAAAGGATCCTTAACTGTGAACCAAAGTTGTTATCCTTGTAAAATATAGTTCTTTCTTTTTTTCTTTCTACGATTGTTTTTGATGCTGTATAATCTTAAATCTCTGACAGTTCCTGGGTTAGTAGTCAAAAAGTTCTGGTTATTAAGATTATGTTTGTCTCTTTCAGAAACCTTTCAGCCCAGGAACAATTATTTTTACGTGCTGTGGTTGCTGAGTTTCAGAGAACTGGTGTAGAAGAATCAGAATTTTCTAAATTGTATTCCCAACATTTATCATTATGTAGATTTGAAAGTAAGTCGCCATTTTCATTTTTAAATGTTTAAAAATCCAAAAGCCTTGCTGTTAGTAGGATGTTAAAGAATGTTTTGTCAATGCACCATATTAATACAAATACACATCATATGATCACCTTGAATAAGTAATCATAAAGCCAATGGAAAGCTGATAGACAAGAACAAGTTGTCTACGTCTATTTTTGGTTGCCTGTATTTTGTAAATTGAACAGTTCTACTTTATTGCAAGGATAGTTTTTAAGTTATGATGAAAAATCCTTTATTTCTCTAAGGGAATACTCCTCTTAGAATGGACATAAAATTTTAAGTCTCAAACTTGGTCAATAAGAGAATTATCAGTTGGACTTACCATGTGCCATGACTATATAAAGCAATATGTCCATTGTAGTTAATAAATATTGAAGCATGTTTCAAAGTAATTTAATGAATTATTACTTAATTTAATGAATTATTACTTAGTTTAATGGATTTATTGGGTTATAGAGGGATTCTGTTGTATAGTTAAGTCCACTTCTGAACAAAATTTTTTGTCATTCAAAGAGGTTGTATATTATTTTTTAGGTATTCAACCACCAACTACATCTGAATTAGCTGGTATGTGTTCAAGATTAGGGAGTATGCGGTTATTACTAGTAGAACATGGCCGACAAGATCTATATATGAGAGTCAGGTTAAATATTAGTCAAGATGATGTCTTATATGCTCTACGTGATACAGAATTCAGTTGATGACAAGTTTACTTTAATTTTTGTAATATTAATTATGTACGTGTCTTTCAATTTGTTATAAGGAATTCATAAGCTGTTTTTTAGCTTTTGTGTGTGTATCATAGACACTTCTAGCATCAATTTCTATCAGACATCTGTGGTTCCTGCAGTTCCACAAAAACTAAGTGTTTGATGACTTCACTAATTACGAAGAGCCTTGTGTAATTAAGCATATTTTGTAATCATATTATTAGTAACATTATCAAACACTTAGTTTAAGTGGAATTGCAGGAACCACAGACATCTGATTGAAAATTAGAATGGTGCAAATTGATGCTATCAATTTCCCCGATACACATAAAAAATTGAGGTAACCTCTGTACAATCCTTTTAAGGTATTCAAAAGCCAGAGACACTTATAGATTCTATTTGTGTCATTCAAGATTTCCTTTAAAACCAGAAAATTTTGACCAGAGTATAATATCACTGTAAAATATCACTTCACATGGTTTTTTGGATAGTGACAAAATGGTGAAGTTTTATTTTGGGATAGTGAATTAATATATATATATATGATATATATTTATAGTTTGGCATGGACGAAGTGTAAAGACTAAACATTTTCCCTGTTCTTAATGTTCATTACTCTCATTTTTATTTTCAACAGTCAATGATATAAGTTGTAATTTGTGCATGTTTGTATATTATTTATTGTAAGTAGTGTATACATTATGTCTTTCTATTATGCATCAGAAAATTTTTAAATAAAAATCATACATCATGATGGTAATATTTGAGAAAAATTATGTATTGTATCATATTCTATAATTCATTATTTCTATCAAAGTATCAGGAAATCAATTAAAATCATGAAATACCTTTTTTCATATACCATATCAATAAAAAATACTGGAAACCAAACTTGACTATCTTTTATATATTGTCCAGTATAATACAGAATAGACTTTTTCCTGCTACCCTGGTGTTTCATGCCAGTAGACATGACAATACTGGTCCTGTAGAACATGGTATAGTAGATCTTCTCTCAATATGTTCCTTTAGCAACGGTAGATATTATTCACATGTGATATTGATAATACACTACCATTGCTAAAGGAAGAAGGATACACTTCATGCCAATTTCTCCCCCTTGCAAATGATACAGTTCTGACAAATACTTCAGAGGAACATTAAATTGAATCAACATTGGTTCCCAACTTTTTGCACTCCTACTACTCCCTTAACCTTATACATTAGATGTATATCCTTGTAACCTTGAAAACAAGGGGAACCAAAAGGTTAAATCATCCGATCACATTGCTGTCGATAGTGTGAAAACATAGAAAAAAAAAATAGAAATTTTAATGCATTCTGCTAAAGAATTTAATTTACCAAAAATAAGTTTATGACACTATTGCAAATTAGATACCAATCTCTGTGTTAGTTGCCATAGCAACATATAGTTGATCTATTTGATGAATAATACTTTAGTTTCAGAAAAAGGAATTATTTTAGCTAAGGTAATCAGTAATAGTGTTCACAGCTCACTGTCTTAATTTGAGCCTTCAAATCCATGTGTATCCAGAATTAGCCACGTTTGAAAATTATAATGATGACTTGTCTTTCTAGATACTCTGCAGATATAGATTTAGTAATTCCTAGTTCGAGGTATTTTTGAAGGATTTATGCGATATCCGTACATTTCTAATACTTCTGGAAACTATTTACATATATTCAAGGCCCAAATCAACCTGAAAATGGCCTCTATGCAGAAAATAGTTTTAATGATATTGAATAACCAATTCCTTATGAATTTTACTTTCAAAAATATCACAGATCTAAAAAATATATCAGAATAGCTTACAGTTTTAAAACTTTGCAACAAATGACTTGAATACACATGAAATGAAACGGGTTCTTTCATGTCATTTCAATGACTAACTTAAAGATGGGTTGCCTTATTTTCATTAATGAAAATGCTTATACTTATATGAATAGAAAGTAAAGGTGTTCTAATGACTTGGAAAAATACCAGTTTGTCTCACATGTCCATAATAAATTCATAATAAACATGAATTAGAAGAGAATTACCAGCAGAATTCTATAGAGTGAGCGATCAAGAAAGGTCAAAAAGTCTTTTTTTGTTTAATATCCAGACTGTACATACATGGAATTGGTTAAAATTCTTAATTATATGCAATAAGAACACAAAGATATGATTAAGAATACATGATAATTCACTAGAAACACCAATTAATCAAATCGTTTGCTTAATGAAAAATACGCCAAGTTAAAAGAAGATATATTTTATTATTGTTTATGATTTGTATAATAAGTATAAATTAAGAGTTAATTACAATAAAAATATATATATTTAACAAATGGACGGACAATATATATAAAATCTAATATCTATGTTGAAAAGATTCAAAAGAGGTTTAAATTTCTAAACTTTCTATGTGTATTGGAGACAGATTCTATTTTCTATAGCTTTTCCTCTTCCCTATGATTCCTGCTATTTGAAAATTTACACATATTGATTTGAATATCTTAAAAATTGAAAATAAAGGTATATGTCTAAAATAGGACACATATGATTTTTTTATATAACTATAATCTCTATGTTGTAACCAGGGTGGAATGATAACAATGCTTGCGTAAGTTATTCACATTTAACAGACCATTCTGATCTATCATCTTCTGGCAATAAATGCATAGCAACCTGAAATTACATAGAAACAGAATGATAATCTAAAGATTTAAAGAATATTGAACATATCTGGGGACCTCCTAAACATAACCGTGGGTTTTAAAATCTACAAATTCCATTGAAATTGAAACCTTGTCTTTTAGGTATTAGGGGGTGTGACATTGAAACGAAATGCATTTCCCTCCTAGAAATTCCAACCAAAAAAAGGTTTGATTTTGACTGAAAATTGCCCTTTGTACAAACAAATTTTGAAGACGTGTGCTCATGCTTATATTTTTAACAACGCAAAGACATTCTATGACTAAGGCTAGGCTATTTTGAGGCTACTATTTCAGTTCTTGAAATGATGAGAAAAAATCAAAAAAAAATTTTTATTCTGCTCATAATAGCTTTTTGGCACTCATTGGGTTAGTGATTATCAATGTGGCTTCTTGTTAAAGAGTATTTATATCTGAGATAAATCAGGATATAATAACCAACTTACCACAGATGAATGACCTGGTATTGTTACAGTAGTTTCTAATGATGACTGATCACTAATACAATTTTTACTAGAACTACAATCAACTGTTACTTTTACTGTAGATCGTGACTGCAATAAGAAATAGCAATATAATAGATACACTTTGGTACATTATTAAAATCTGTGAATGGGAGTGGTCATCTGTATACAGGCTTATCTTGATTGACATATCAAGCCAACCTTTAGAACATTCTGAATCATCTTTACAATGTCAAGGTATTAGGCAATTTTCCTGCAACATGAAAGTTAATATATGCAAATTTGATTCATGAGCAAATGCAGCCAATCAGAGCGCTGATTAATGTGCAATCATATTATTTTTTAGCCTATTTGTCAAGGGATTTAATTAGAAAAGTGTCTAATGATGTCAAGGTATTGACATGGTAATATATATCAACAATTTTTCAATGCACAACTTTGAACAGTATCTACAGTATCTTTATACAAATGATTTTTATTATTTCAATTTATCATTATTGTAACAAACCTTATTTTCAGCTACTATAGTTGCTCTTCCATCACCTATATAAGTATATAGCGTTACATCTTTCTTATCTTTACTTTGACTGCTTTCACCCTAAAAAATAAAATTACTTTACTGTATAATTAGAAATTTTTTTACGAAGAAGAAACCAATCTGTCGATTGAGGCTTTCACCTACTGTATATTTTTGATTATCTTCCCTTTTGGGTCCTCTTTAGCATTCTTCCACTTAGACATAGCTGATATTATACCATTTTAAGTAGTTATAATTCCCTTGAAGCTAAATCTGTATTAACTTCCAATGTAAGCTTAATTGTAGGGGAATTGTATGACTGATTTTCACTCTAAAAAGTGATACAGATAGTTGCAAAAATAAAGACGACTTCATTGCGAAATTACCTAAAAAATAAACTACAAAAATAATTCCTTTAGCTAAATGGCTGAGAGTTGTATTCGAAATTTATGATCGCTATTTACAACCATACACAACTGGCAATCCCTATGGTGTAGGGGCCTCTTGAACAAAACAGAAACTTGTTTTACCTTAGCAATGACTGATTCAACAAGGGCCTCCTGTAGATTATCACCAACTCTTTCTAATCCTGAGACTTTAAAGTCAGCATCATCACATTCATCAGTATACACATCAATTCTATATGGACAAGCCTGAAAATATAGTTTTCTACTTAAATTTTCTATATTTTTAAGAGATGCCACAGTAACTCGACAAGTTTATTGCTTTCTCCCTGACCTGAATGTCTAGGAATCAATACCAACATAGTTCAATATAATATCATCAGATTTTCGACCTGGTTTCCCCCCGTCAGTTGTGAAGGTCAAAGGGGCTGAAAAGCATCTAGTCGTTCAGATGGGACAATAAACTGAGATCCTGGAGAAATTTTCCTCAATGGAGCTTTGCCCATCTTCATTAGCCCAATTAGGTGCAAAGTTCTAGGATGTAAAATTTTTTTATAAATTTTTCAAATTTGTGGATCCATTTCTGATCTCAAGTGATTGAATTTATACAAACATCGGTCCTGCACAAAAATCAATGCTTAAAAAAAATCCGAAATTACAAACTCAAGACCTAGGTTGGCTTTTGTAGTGAAAATATTTTTAAAAATACCATCATCACCTGTTCTAGTTGAAGACTCTTATTAAATCCTAAACTGGTCAACGTTACCCATAAGTCATCAGTTTCACCATTATTATCTTCTGCTTCCATTTCATTCAAACGTATAAATCCTTTCTTTGTTATTTCTCCATCTCTTAATTCAACATTTTCTAAAAAAAAAAAAGAAAAAAAAAAAATACAACTCACTCTTGCCTTTAAATGTCATGAAAGTCACCTTCCAGAACAAAAATCTGACACCTTGTTCGTCTGCAGTTAAAGATTGAGCTCTATAGCTCTGACACATGTACTTAGGAAAGTTTTACTCCCATCAGTATGGATCTATTTGCTCATACAACTCAAGCCCTATATTTCAAAGTTAACCAACATTTCAAAAGCCATCTGTCCTGATGAGGATCAAGCTAGGTGCCTACCTTCTACAACATTCCATTCATCATCAGCAACTTCTTCTCCACTGGTACGTAGATTAAATAAATTGAACTCTTCTCTTGATAATAAATCATTACCATCTAAATCACTCATTTGAAATGCATCTTCTAAAGCTTTTCTGAAAAAGGAAAAGGTTACCTTAAAGAATTTAAAATCTAAAATTTTTATGTGTATCAGAGATGCTGCTAACATCAATTTGCATCATTCCAATTTTTAATCAGACATCTGTGGTTTCTGTAATTCCTCTACAACTAGTGGTTTGATGATGTCACTAATCGCCAAATATGTTTTATCACATTAGACTGAGTTAAGGATTCATACACAATATCTGATATCATTTTATGGCAACACAATTAAGCCACAATACGAGAAATAGTTCTTAGTAAAACCCCAATAACTCAGATCTGACTGAAGGCAAGCTTAGTAGAAACTCTAAAACACTCTAGGAAACTCTCTAGGGGATATCTTTTTTTTTCATATTTGGTGTATCTTAAAGTTAAATGCCCCTGTTCTTAATCATTTTTTTTTCAAACCATGCTGATTTGTGACTCATTTATGAATTCAAATGGTCTCTAATTCTTAATTCTACCTATTCTAAATAATCACTTGAATGATTTTCTTAATTTTTTGGATTTATTGGATAAAAACAGGGATTCCGTTGTATTCTTAGAACACCAGGTAAGACTGCTGATATACTAGTACTCATCAAGTTTGAGAATTCCTCAAAATTAATCTCCAAATTAATATCTTACCTAAAGGCTTTAGTAATAACAACTTGATTATCTCTTGTAACATTAACTAATTGTGCTTCTTCTTGTCGTCTATGCGATTTAGGTTTTAAACGACAACCAGTTGTAAAAGGCATGATGGTATATTTACCAGCATCTAAATCACATCTTACACCATATTTCTAAAATACAATATTCATCTTGAAAGTCATTAGAAATATCATTCTTTAAACATTTTCAATACCTAATAGTCATACCATTTATATTTTATATATCTTAAGATACTGGTATATAATTATTTTTTGGACAAAATGTTACAAAAAAAGATTCAGATTCTCTATTATATATCTAAGTATGGTCCAGCAGGCTGGTGCAGTTGCATGGTATGCCTACTCTTCTAGACACCTGATAGCACTATTCATTTTGAAATACCTTTTTATTTATGATTGATTGAAATACTTCTTCATTTGAAAAGTTCATAGATAAAAATACATTGCAAAACTGATATTTTGGATTCCAGGTTTTGTTTTGTGGTTTCGGATTATTGATGGCAGACTACTGATCAATAATCTATTAATAATTGAAATAATTAAATTGAATACTAAATCAAAAAAATGCCATAATTCTTAACCTCATTGGTTATTTTTGCATCATTGAAGTATATTCTTGCTTTGATGGGTTATTGTGGGTATGTTATGTGCTGAAGGGAAACTATGTGGAAGATATTACTACTTCACAATGGAGAAAATGTTACTTTTACATATAATAAATTTAATTATTGAAATTATAAATTCCTAGCCATGATAATTGATTATTTCAATCATTTTACCCAGTCCTAGTTCAGATTGTTAGTACTTTGGTTTTTGCTATTTTTATTAGTATTGACTTACCCCTTTAACATCTCGTTGTTCACTAAATGTAACAAGTTTTCTGTTTTTTAAAATAAATAGTGCAGTATCAACAGGATAATGTGATGATGAGGCTGTAACAAAAGATCCCAAAAACATAAGAAACTAACTTCTGAAGAAACATTAGATTTGACACAACATATAAGATACATTCAAAATTTTCCTATCAATTTTCTTCTCTGCCATTTTGAATTCTGTCTACTATTTTTTCAGCACATATGTTCTTAAATGTGCAGAACTCACCAATCAAGCGTCCCTATTTCTACTGAACCTATCATACTGAACCTAACCTACTGAACCTAACCTTATATCCTATATAGATAGATAGGTTAATATACTTTTATTATAAATCATATACCAACCTGAATCACCTATCTTAATAGGTTGTATAGTTATCCAGACGTTCGATGCTTCTGGTAATGTTAAAGTATATTTATGACTTATCATTCCGTCGTCAGCATCATTAAAGAAACAACCTTTACTTTCACTGTGGGTCCATTCCTTTAACATTAAATCAATAGTCTTAATTTTGGTAGAATTTCAAAATAATTTTGATGTTTCCCAAAATTAACTGTTTGAACACTGAGTGTAAATGAAAACATAGGTTTGCGGCAAACCTCGCAAGCGAATACGCCCACCAGCAGCTTGATCAAGTCTTTATTAAAGAGCTAAATGTGAACTGTACAAACTCTATATCGTAGCCTGTAGAGTGAGCATGAGCCAAAAAAGTGAAAAAACGCGATATCAGTTTTATGCGATATCTCTCAAGATAATCATCGGATCATCACCAAATTCAATAGTGCACATCTTTATAATGATATTGACACACATACAAAAGAATCTATAGAGAATTGTAGCCTGTAGAGTGAGCACGAGGTAAATGTGAACGGACGAACCAACAGGGGCAACCACAATATACGCCCATACTTACGTGTGGGCATATAAAAAACCTAATCAGTATTAGTGTTCACAGCTCACTGTCAAAATTTGAAACTTCAAATCCATGTGTGTCCAGAATTATCTGTATTTGAATGTTAAAATAACAACTTGTCAACTTAAGATACAGAAAAGAAATAAATAGGAATAGTGAGTAAAGTAGTTTTCTGAAGGAATTATGTGATTTTCGTAAATTTTTAGTACTTCTGAAAACTATTTATATATATTCAAGACTAAAATCAATCCCCAAAAATGTAACACCTGTCCCTTTAAGGTATAGGACAAAGTTTGTGATACCTTGACTATTGAGAAGATGACTTACCCTAAGATTTCTTGGCTCTGGTAATTTACTAGATCTTGCAGCAGGAACAGGTTTGGAATCTCTACGAACTCTTGGTGATGCTCGTGGATATTCATCTGGAAAAAAAAACCGATCATCCAATTTCTAAAAATTGACAACTTTATTGTTTTGGAAAAAAGATCAGAAAATAACCATCAACTTATGAAAACTTTAACATCATAGAACTCAAGTTGCTTAACAATTTCTTGCCTAAAAACAAAATGTGATAAAGTCTCAAAATAATACAACAATACATGTTATTTATCTTGTGTTAAGGGTTAAATGAAACAATCAAACTATGTTTAGTGGTTAAAAGCACAGCCATATAATTATCAGGAATAAAGCATTGGGATTTATCAAAGGTGCCCAAGCCCTCTTAACACCTAATCTATGATCCATCCCCTATTTTTATCCTTACTGTCTTTGCAAGTTCTTCGGTTATTTTTATGAAAATTGAAATATCAGCCACAAAATAGTTATTTTGGTATTCGAATGACTTTGTGTTGATAGTTGTATAAATTTTGTGGAAGTTTACATTAAAAGAAATATACTTCTCTCTCAATTTTTTACCAAAAATTTTGTCTTAAAATTGTCCTCTATAAAAACAAAGTCCAAAATGGTAATGTGTGCTTATGTTTATATTTTCATCAACACAAAGACATTATATGGGTGACCGCTTGAAACCTCATATATGCCATATTTTAGGATTTTTTTTTGTACCGTTTGTAGTTTGTAAAAGCACGGACCTTGTGATCAAAACCTTGATACGTGTACAAATAGAACTATATTCCACTTCTCAAACATATTTGATATACCAACAACCTTGCGGCAAAGCATTGCATTTGACATAAGCCAATGAGCATAGCTATAGATGGCTATTAAAAAATTGCTGACTTTGCAGACCTCTAGTGACATGATTATATCCTACTGGAATCAAAAGGTTAGAAGCTGTCCTTATTGGCATATTAGTACCCAGTGTCATATCAACTGCCAAGTACACACAGCAGAGAGAGTATAGAATTTAGTTGGATTTAGTAATTGTAATGATACATAATTATATACTACTATAAAGATAAAATAACCTCTGATAAGTTACTATTAGTGATAAAACTGATGTAAGAATAATAATTGAGATTTGAAGATAGCTGACTTTCTGACAGCACAATCTCTTGGTCAAGAGTTTAAATTTAGCTGTCTGAATTAAGTACATTTTAAAAGGCCAATGCCAGCTTCACACATGACATTTGAGCCATCCAAATACTCTAGTTTCAAGATGCTTCAAAAAGCTTTTTAAATTCTGATTCCTTGGACAGAATGATAGCAGCCGTTGTTAAAGTTTTTTTTAAATATATCTCCATGACAAAATATCTTAGAAACAGTGATATTACGGTCACGATTGGAATTACTTAAAGATGGTTTTCCTTATTTTTTAGTGTCAAATTAAGCAAACTTTTTGATTAATTGGTGTTTCTAATGAATTGTCACTTATTCTTAATCATATCATTATGTTCTTATTGCATATAATTAAGAGTCTAAACCAATCAAGAATGTCCCTGTATGTACAGTCTGGATAAACCAAAATAGACTTTTTGACCTTTCTTCATCGGTCACTCATTGGAATTCTGTTGGTAATTCTCCTCTAATTTAGCTAATTATGAATTAATTATGGACATGTGAGACAACTGGTATTTTTTCAAGTCATTAGAACACCTCTACCGTCTATTCATATTAGTATTAGCATTGTCATTTTCATAAATGAAAATAAGGGAACCCATCTTTAATTAGTCAGTTAGTATAGTAGTTGGTTGTTATGTTTAAAATATATTACACTTCTTGTCTTTTAAAGACTATTTCTATAATTCTATGTAAAAATCTAAAACCGTTCTCAATGAATGCTTGCCTTTGTACACTATACCAAATTAATAGCTGTCCCATACTTTAAAGTTTTATTCAAATGTCAACGAATTCTCCATTAAAGGAAGTGTTTTGACAAAATCGAATTGAATTGGACTGAATATTTCATGCCTGATTAAGATCAGTTTCATATTTGACCAAATGATAAAACTTAGCAAAATCTGTTGACGCTCGCTTCTGTAGGTTCTTTGATTTTAATTATACCCCTTTCGCACTGAAAAAGTAATTCGGTTCTATCCAGTTCTATCCGAATAACTTCCGGTTGCTTTGCACTGGCAAAAAAACTTATTCGGTTATAACCAGAAGTTATCCAGATAGAAAAATCTACCTCAAGAGGTGGATTTCGTCTGGATACGATTCAGATAAGTGGCAGTGCGAAACCAAACAAGAAGTTATCCGGATAAGTTTATCACGTGGGGTGTCACGTGTATAAGTACTTCAAAATGGCTCCTGTTGGCGGGGACGTTATAATGATATTTGATTAATAAAGTACACGAATTGTCTTGGAAAAGAATGAATATATATCGGAAGAGGAAACAGAAAATGCTTTTGTTTTTATTTTCATATTTTTTATTTATAAACAAGGAATTTCAGTCCCGTCAACTGTGGGTGCAACCTAGGTCGAAATGGTGGATGAGAGCTGGCATTATTAATCTGAACGAGTTGGCAATAGTTGAAAAATTATGTTTATTCCTCTTCATGCCATCTAATTCATCTTGAATTTTAGTGTCGCCCCAGACAGCGAGCATGCAGCGAATTTCGTCATTGTTCCAATTATAATTGCCAGCGTCCATATTTGTTTTTAATGTTTTGTCACGTGACATGTGTTAATAAAAATAAAAAGTTATCCAGATAACTTGACTCGGCAGTGCGAAAGCGGCTATCCAGATAGGATTGCAGTGCGAAAGCAACCCGAACCGAACTGAATCGGATTTTTCTATTCGGTTATAACCGAATTCAATAATTCAGTTGTGCAGTGCGAAAGGGGTATTAGATAATGACATGTCCAGGCAAACATCTTTATAGTTATTTCACAACAGAAAGAAAGCATGCAAATAAAAATCAAAATAAAACCAAAAATTGAAATTAAGAAAATGATCAGTACCAACACTAATAAGAGACTGGCGTGAACCAGATATACCATTAGCATTTTCTGAAATTTAAACAAAACAAAATTCAAATTGAACATAACTAAATGAAAAAAATCAAAATACACATAAGAAGGCAAATCTATCACGACTGACACATTCAGAATTCAACGAAATTTTGAAAAAAAATTAAATGAAAAACTTAATTGATATATAGCAGAAAAATCAAAATAAAGCAAGCATTGAGGTAAATGCCAGCAGCATTCTTAGCTATAATTCATAATCTTACCAAAGTCCAAGGAAATTTGTAGCATCTTTTCTGCATGCAAAGATGCACAATAATTGAACTTATTTGTCTGCATCAAGGGAATTAACCCAGAAAACCATTGAAAGAAATTCTAGAAAATCAATCTGATTACAGTTTTCTGAAATTTCAGCAATAAGCATGAACATTCAAGTTTTTTTTAATATCTGATGATGTTACTTTCTATTGTAAGAATTGTCCAATGAAATATTTTCACATTTTCATGAGCAAAAACTTTACAAAATCCTCAAATATGACAAAATATAACGAAGACTCTAACAAATCCATAGTTTTTTAATCTGACAAAAAAAGAAGATTTACTTTAAATGGACATGTAGGCCATTTTTTTGACCAATCCTACTTTAGTCTCAGAAACTGGAATTTTTAGCTGAGCTAGTCAGTAATAGTGTTCACATCTCACTATCGAAATTTGAGCCTTCAAATCCATGTGTGTCAAGAATTATCTGTGTTTTAATATACTCTGTGATAAATAGAAAAGACATATTTAAAAATAGTGAGTAACATTCCTAGTTTAAAGTATTTTTGAAGGAATTATGCCATTTTCGTACATTTCCAGTACTTCTGAAGTCTATTTACATATTTTCAAGACTAACATTAACCCCCCAAAATGGCACACCTGCCCCTTTAAATCAGGCACAAGTTTCATTAAAATCTGACCAAAGCTGTAGCATTTACTACAAAAAGTTGGAGTAAAAGTCATTGAAAACTGAATTCCCATAACCACAAAACACCAAAAATCATATAAAACACAGCATGCAAATATTAGATACAAATTAATACCAAATTAAATAACACCACAATTCATTTTCAAAGGGATACAATCCTATAAAATAATACACAGGAAGTCTGAGAAACTCTGACCCAAACTATGGAATCCTAGGTTTCGCATCTTCACAAAGTCAAGCTATTACAAACTGGGTCTTATACCTTGACTGCAAGTCACCTTTCTTATATCACAGAAATTGTATATGACAGGATTTGATTGGATTGTACACAAGCATTTAATAAACTTTGATTATACAGCAGTCAAATTGTTTAAGTCTTTCTGTCAAAGGCTCTGATTGGCTATATTAACCAGCGTACAATCCAATCAAATAGTTGCCTTTACAAACTTCCAGGATATAAGAAAGGTAATTGTAGTCGAGGTATAAGAAAAACTACGTTATAGCTTGACTTTGTGAAGATGAGTTTTCTGTATCCCCAGATTGTTCCAAAATGCATGTAAATGTTGGACAGTGACACATCACAGTTGATGCTGAATGTTTTTAGAACTATTTACCAGACTGATGAACTGACAATGTTTTTATGCAAAATTAACCCTTTGAACACTGAATGTCAAAGAATAAATAGTACACTTAGATTCTGGCAAGGTACAGATTAATTTTTCATATTTCGGAGTATATGATAATCCAGATCGGCAAAATTGAGATCTGTCAGAAAAGTATAAAATTTCAAAATAAATATTTAGAGGATTGTATCCCTTTATGGTGACAAACAAAAAATTATTTCTAAATAACCATGCAATTATTGTACTTCAAACAATTAAACACTTGAGTTATAGGATTAAACTGGAAATATGTAATATTCTATAAGCAGTAGGACTTTTTGTTGAAAATTTGCGAAAAATCTTTCCTTATTATTCTAGACGTCCCAGGTATGGGAAAATTATGCCAATGTTTGGCCAAGGACTAGCTGTAGAAAGTTGCTATCCTTTTTGTTTCTTTCTATCTTTCTTCCTTAATTCCGATACCCACAGATGCCAGGATCGAACCTCAGACCATCAGGTTAGCAAGAAAGCATTTAACTGTATGACCTTAAGCATGCAACACAATGAAGTGTACAATAAAGAAAATTTTTCAAGGAACACCTCAATTCTGATTATCGACTGCAGTCTGATTAAGGCTCTTATTACACCAAACATTACCACATGAACGCTACTGGCAAGGGTGAACTGGGTTGACAAATTTTACCAGAAGCCTACTATCTGGACCTATATTAACCATTTAAAATATTCCAGTGAATTAATTTGGCAAGTTAACAAGTGAGTTAAGTTAAGCAGAATACAACCAAGCCATTCCACACCAGAAAAACATAATAAACCTACGCATGATATTAGATCTATTGGATCTCAGAGATAATAGTGATCCTCTATGATTGTTATTTGGTTGTTGATCTGAATCATCAATATTGACATCATGATCCTCTTCATCTATATAATATTTTCATAAATGTTTAGAACAATACAGCAGAGCAACATAATTACAGGCAATGTACATAAGTTTTATTAGAAATTGTTTGTGGTCTGAATCAAAATGGCTACTGTAAGCAAACCTTAAAGATGGGTTTTCTTATTTATATTTATGACAATGAAATTGCAGATACTTATATGAATAGAAAGTAGAGGTGTTCTAATAACTTGGTAAAATACCAGTTTGTCTCACATGTCCATAATTAATTCATAATTAGATAAATTAGAACAGATTTATCAGCAGAATTCCAATGAGTGACCGATCAAGAAAGGTCAAAAAGTTTATTTTTTGTTCATCCAAACTGTATATACATAGACATTTATGATTGGTTGAAACTCTTAATTATATACAATAAGAACATAATGATATGATAAAGAATAGATGATAATTCCTTAGAAACACCAATTAATCACAAAGATTGCTTAATTTGACACTAAAAAATAAGGAAAACCATCTTTAATATCTAGGGCCTTATTCTTAAAAGCTTAAATCCCTTAAAATCAGTTGTAAGTTAAAATTTTGACTTAAGTTAAGCTAAGTGGTATTCTCTAAACCTATTTACAACGTGATTTTAACTTTAAACGATTTTAACTTAAAACACCATTTACCCTGTTTTAAACTAAAATCGAAACAAAATGGCGGCCAAACAAGTGATGATCCTTTTACAAATATTACATATGTTCACAAATTAATAAGATTTGGATGTAGTTTTGGTGTTTAGGAATTGGCCTTAATTGTGCCTATCATTAATATAATAGTCTGGGTCAAGAAATTGACTTCTAAAAAGGGAAATGGGGAGCTGTATAGGAGATAGTCTCGGCCTAGTTGACAAGGCATAGATATTTCGACAAAAGATCTAAAAACATTTTTATTTCATTCTTTTTTATTAAGAACTCAATATAAATTATAAAGATAACATGAGAGTAGCTTACTAACAGAAATGATGAAGAAAAAAATCTGTCACAGATCTCCAGTCTTTAAAATTTAATGTTGTAGCTCTTTGTATCCTAAAAGGTATGATTGAAGCGGAGATGCTTTAGTTTGCAGTACGATTAACACTGTTTTATCATTTTTCACGATTTATGATCATTCTATAAATTGTTTTTAATTTGTTGCTATAGGCTTCGGCTTTTATTTGGTAACTAGGCTAAACTGGCCCTGAAAAGATAAATAATCATAATTTAAATAATATTTTTGGCTTACATTTGGCCTCAAAGACCAAAATGCTATAAGCTATAACATGTAGATCTATTTACATTAAAGTGGACTCTCGGGACGCGGCCTATATCTATGTCAGTCTATGGACGGCCTCTTATATATTCTGCCAATTAACCTACGGCAGTCTATTATTATGGCTAAGCGGTAGGCCTATCTGTTAGTTTCTATAATGTAAAATGTGCAATGAAAGATTAAAGGCCTAGCCTAAGCATAAGACAAGCGAACTTCTTAGCCTAACTAAACTTGCCTAACTTGAGGAAAGCAACACTAGCCTAATCAAACATGAATAACGTCGTGGAATCTGCAGGTCACAAAAGAAAGTCTTAATTATTTCGATAATTCGAGAGCCGAATGGGCTTTTTACGAATTTTCTCAAACAATATCAACTATAATAGGCCTATTTACCGGTTTGTGTTTGTTCACAACTTCACTGCCACTGTACTCTCTCTGACTCTGTAGACTGTTGTTCCGGCTCGCTTCCTAATAAGATCTAATGAAATCCACCAGTAACATCAGTAATACCGTATTTTGAAGTAGGGTGGATTTAGAACACGAAAGTTTGCTTGTCAGCATTTGATGTCCTCCATACTATTTAATTGTAAGAAATTCACAAAAATCCCTTCGCCATCGCTTTGTTTTGATGTCGGACAAGATGGCGGCGTGACGACAGACTGTCCTCATGTTTTACAGGCGACGATTTGATTGGTTGAATTCATTATAACGTCATGAATTGATTGACAGGTCTATCACTAAAATCAATTTTAGTTAAAATCGCCTAAAATCGAATTTTATATTGAAGAATACCACTTAATTAAAGTTAAAATTGGATTTTAACTATAATCAATTTGAGAGATTTTAAGTTAAGTTTTCGAGAATAAGGCCCCTGGTTGTTATTTGCATACTTTCTAGTTACAAACAGAATACAGGGAATTGAAATGGAGTAAATAGACAACATTGACATATAGACATAGACAGTAGGATAACCTCTTTACAATCCCTTTAAGAGAAGTCAAAACCAAAACAAAATTAAGAGCATAAGGGTATTTGGTATACTTTTGAATGAAGATAGATAAGATTTATTGATGTTATGAAATAATTGATGAAACTGAGAAATGAAGAAAATACCTCGATCAGTTTTGTTAGATTTTAAAGAGAGTTGAGAAACAGACTTTACTTGAGATTCTACAAACAAAATATAAATCATAAAATCAAAATGAAAAACAGAATTCAAAAAAGCTTTAACCAGTTATCAATGGAGGATTGAAGACATCCCAGATTGATCTGATTTGATGATCTGGGGCCTGTTTCACAAATTTTAACTGAATTACAGACAAGATTTTAAGAAATTAAGTAATCTGATTGGCTTTAACAGCTAACATTTTTAGATATAGATTTTAGCTATTGACCAATCGGATTACTAGAATACTAAAATCATTGTGAAATAGGCCGCTGGTGAAATAATAATATAACTACACCTACTAAAGAATAAGGTATCAAAGAGAAAGTTATCAGGAAAGAAACAAAATGTGACTTAAGTAGTACTCTTGCTAATAGATTGGTAATAAAAATTGGTACAATATAATAATCTTTGAACAAGAATAAGAAAAGAAGCTCTAAATTATAAGAGAAAAAACATATTAAAATTTCAAAATATTGTAGAAATGTTTTATGTATTAAAACCCAGAAATATTATTTTCTGTTATTCTATGTCATCTCTAATCCTAAGGATTGATTACTGAAATGAAGCTAAACTACTGCTTTAACCCTCACCTCTTCTTGAAGATGATCGTTCATCAGATTTCCTTTGTTTTTTTCTTTCCTTTTTCTCCATTACTTTCATTGATAATTTTTTACAATCTTCAGTAGTAGCTATTATCATGTTACAAAACTGGAAAGAATTTCAAAATAAAAAGTTTTAATTATCAAAAGGTGGTAATTTATACCTGAAAATATTTCTAAAGTATGCTATGTATATCTATGTATCTACTTTTGTCTCTGAATTTGTTTTAAAACAGAGAGTACTAATTGTTAATTAAGCAGTTTAGTGTTTGACTTTATAATGGGTCGATATTATTAGTTGAAATCTTTAGAATACATAGGAGACATATGTCTCTACAATAAGGTGTTTATTTTATTTAAAACCGTACAGTAGTTTTCTAATAGCTCCCAAAATGCATAACAGACTTAAAAACCTTACGTAATGTTTTTAAATATTTTTGGCGTTTAAAATTAACGGCTGAATTTTTCTAGTTAAAACTTTCAGATACATTAAGGGACACATTTCTAGATTTTTGTGTATAGTTTTCACAAATTTGAGCAAAAAAAATTTTCAACCTACAAAAAAAGCGGATAGTCCCTTTAATAGCAATACTTTGTTTTTTTCGTTCAGTCAGCATACAAATTTTACACACATGCTTTAAATTTGCTCAAATGTTATGTGATTCTACAGTTGACAATAAAAAAAATATTTTCACTGTTAAAATAGTGCTCAATAAATAATGGTAGAGATATATATAGAAATATTAAAACAGAACTTGAAAGTGTGAAACTCTGAGTAACAACATGGTTCAGGTTCTGTTTTAATATTTCCTGATATAACTCTTAATATAGATCCTGTTGTGCTATAAACTGTGTAGCAGATACGATGAGGGCACACAAATACTGCAGCAGTTAACCAATATTGTTGCTTTTCTTTTCAGCAATCTCATTGTTAGAATAGTAATCATGATATCCCGCAGAACATAAAATTTAGATAAAAAGTCAAAATAATCAACTTTTAAATTTCTGATTTCATCGGATTCATCCGTAACATTCATAAACTTTCAACATTTTCAAACAAACTCCATTTTATCAGACACCACGATTTAGAATGATAAGTCCATTAAACTCTGTGACTATCGTGATCACTAAATCCAAAGTGTTTCGTACAGTTTGATATATTTCCAGGAGAAAAATTTTCTGCGTGTGATTTAAAGGAGGGTTTCAGACATCATTTGAAATTATAACAAAGTTTGATGAAAACTTATATTTCTTTTGGGTCCATAACAAATGTTTGCATGCAGATGTATAATACACATTTTGTGCAAGTTTCTATATTGTGAGCATCATATATAGCAAGCTCTCATTCCATGCAAAATATTGTGGTGATGTGGAATTGTTTACAATAATTACAGCCACAAGTGTTCTTTGCAAGCAGACAAACCTCCTTATAGTCAATTTTCTGGAATAGGTAGAAATTTATACAGAATAAGGTAAAATACAATTAAATAGGTATCGATATTAGGGATTTCTATTTATGTCAGTGTTAAAGGGGTTGTAAAGATAATTTGTAAACTTCCATGTACATCATTTAAGGCTTCTATGTGAATATGTAAACTTCCATGTACATCATTTAAGGCTTCTATGTGAATATGTAAACTTCCATGTACATCATTTATGGCTTCTATGTGCCATTTTTTTAGAAATTTTGAACTGTTTATGAGGTCAGAATCGCAAAAGCTACTAATAAATTTTGAGATAGTAACGTCATAAATTTCTTAGTTTTAGTGGAAGATCCACAGATGTCTGATTTAAAATTGAAATGTTGCACATCAGTGCTTTCAGTATCCCTGATACACAAAAAAAGTTGCACATTGATGTAGTCAAGAAATGACTTCATTAGCTCTCCTAAATCATTCAAGATGAAATAAACGCCAAAGTAAGGTGTCGATAACATCTGTTGCTTAAAACAGATGTGGGCCCATAAAATGCAACAAACCTCTTTATAATCCAAGCGGCCATCTTTATTATCATCAACTTCATCAATTATCTCCCTGACATCATCTCTGCTCATTTTCTCACCTTTCTATAAATAATGACATATTGTCTCAAATTAATCATTCAGTATTACTGACCTCAAAATAAATTATTCAGTTCTCATGGTCTCAAAATAAATTATTCAGTTCTCATGGTTTCAAAATAAATTATTCAGTTCTCATGGTCTCAAAATAAATTATTCAGTTCTCATGGTTTCAAAATAAATTATTCAGTTCTCATGGTTTCAAAATAAATTATTCAGTTCTTATGGTCTCAAAATAAATTATTCAGTTCTCATGGTTTCAAAATAAATTATTCAGTTCTCATGGTCTCAAAATAAATTATTCAGTTCTCATGGTTTCAAAATAAATTATTCAGTTCTCGTGGTCTCAAAATAAATTATTCAGTTCTCATGATCTCAAAATAAATTATTCAGTTCTCATGGTTTCAAAATAAATTATTCAGTTCTCATGATCTCAAAATAAATTATTCAGTTCTCATGGTCTCAAAATAAATTATTCAGTTCTCATGGTTTCAAAATAAATTATTCAGTTCTCATGGTCTCAAAATAAATTATTCAGTTCTCATGGTTTCAAAATAAATTATTCAGTTCTCATGGTCTCAAAATAAATTTTTTAGTTCTCATGGTCTCATAATAAATTATTCAGTTCTCATGGTCTCAAAATAAATTATCCATGAGATTTTACTAAAAATTTGCGAAAAAACAAAAATCATTCTTGTGTCAACACCATTAGACTAAACTG